TCCAAGAATTAATTAAATCTATGCTTGGCATTAAGTATAATATAAATATAAATAGAGCTCACTGAGTAGGAAGAAAATAATCAGATAAACCCAGAAACAGGCCTATAATAGTCAAATTCTTAAATTACAAAGACAGAAGCACGATATTGAAAAATACACCAGAAATAAACCAGACATAAAAATAAAAAGAAGAAGTAAAGTAGAACTATTTTATTCAAAAATTTATTTCGTTAAGTTTTAATCTCTAAAACATTTAATAAAGTTCCGACGTGGTCGTTGCCAATACGTGAAGGTCGTAGCCAATACGTGAAGGTCGTAGCCAATACGTGAAGGTCGTAGCCAATACGTGAAGGTCGTCTTCATTTTCGCATACATCTGTCGAGTAAATTTCATTTCCGAGCTTTGAAATCATTGATTCGAGAATGTTAAAAAAGTCTTTACAACAAATCTTTCGGCTCATTAAAAAAGATTTTATGCAAATGACATAATTGACATTCTGTTTCTCTGTATGCTTTTCACATAGGTGACCTGTGAAAAGACTTTTTCAACAAAACAATTAGAAACAAGAACAAATAGACAAGTAAGACAGTAGTCGGAAATGTGGCGAAAAGTGGGAAAGAAATGTCCAAAAATGTCAACATAGTCCCTTAAAGCTATCCAGAATTCAGCAGTATTTTTAGGAAATTCTTTTTCTTTAAAAAATATTAGACTCAGTCCATTCAACAATACTGACTTTTCTGTATTTGCTTTCAATTTCTTGACTTTTTGTACCCATTAGATGAGGGAAAGGTAGCTTTGAAAATGGAACCTTTTCAACTTGGGGAAGAACTTTCATTGGAGACAGATTTGACAACTTTGATACTTATATCTAAGTGCTATCATTCTACCAAAGGGTTTTCCCAATTCAGAAAGTTAAGGTTAGAACCTGTTTTATAACACTGTGTCACAGTCTCGATTTTTTATTCTCTTAATATGAAATATTAAATCATAAACTGATTCGTGTATAATAATGAAGCAGCATTAAAACACTAGATGAATTGACTAAGCAACTAAATAAAGATGATTATTAGGTGAGTAGGAGCATCGTTTACACTCGACTAATGCCACAACGAATTTCAACTTTGGAAGGAAAAAGAAACATATCAACAGTACTGGACAAATTGAATCAATCTTAGACTGACTCACACTCCAAGCACATCAATGGAAAATTCTGCACAGCAACCTGGAGACAACTGGAATAGTTGTCGTTCATACTGGGACCATATTATTATTGACCAGTTTTCAACAGATGCTGAATTTGTTGATCCAGAGACATCTGAGCTAGATGCAGAAGAATTGATAATTAAAGATATAAAATGGTTTTCTGAACACGTCCGCACAAGTCAATACTTTACTCAAATCGTCAAATCTCAAGATGTAAAATGTTGCTTTAAAATTAGAAGCTTTCAATGTTTTTTGTTCGCGATTTTTATGCCCTCCAATTCCAGGTATTCAAACAAGTAATGGTCTTCAAGCTGACAAAAGAGGAGACTGTGAGTCTCATAAGTTTATATCACTTTTTGTTTCAAGTATTAAAATAGATGATATAATGGCAAGATCGGCAGGAAGTTTCCAAGTTCATCTTTATGATCTCTTTTGTTCATCAGTACAGACTTGTCTATTTAATCGAATATGCAAAGTTTGCCATATTTTTGCAATTTTTGTGCTATCCAAAATGTTTTTTCAAGGCATTTTGAAAAAACATTTTGGATTGCACAAAAATTGAGATAAAGGAAATACTGTTCTTGAGAAAACTCAAACAAGGCGTATCAAGAGTAGCCGCTAGAAGGCAAAGAGAGCTCGTGGTAGTTATTGCTCGAGAAAAAAATGAAGATATAGAGTGGCTGAATGAAGATGAAGTTGATGTTTCGGGAATTGCCATTCCAGATGAAGATTTAGAAAAAACATAAGAAATGCTTGTCCCAACTATAGACGAACACTTCAATTCTCATTGGATGGAAAATGTTAAATGGATAGTTAAAAAAAAAGTTTTATTTGTAATTTGAAAACCATAAGGTTCAAATTAAGAAAAACTTTATTTTATTTTATGATGACGATCTTTACCAATAAATTAAGAAGGTACTCCAAATTAATTAAATTGAGTCTTTTTTACTCTGTTAAACAGCTATTACTATGTTGTTAGAATGTTGAAAATTCCGTTATTATGTTTTTTTTTTAGAGGTGGGTGGGTGGGTGGGGAGGGAGAAAAATGTGACACTTTTTAGGGGGGTGCCAAAATATGTGACAGTTTGTGACAGGAGGAGGAGGAGAAGAAGGGGTTAAAAAGATTCATACTGCTTGCAAAGCAAGCAGCGTAATCTTACAACATCATTTCCCTCGATATCATACTCAAACTTTAAATTAAATTCTTTTTCCCATTTTAAAATAGTATTTAATTTACAATGGTTATCTTTAGTTTTTGGTAAGAAAAATGAGGCCACATTTTTAAATATTTAGTTCACTTTATCTACTACACTTTCAATTTAATATATTTTTAACTCTTAATTTTAAAAGTTTTTAAACAGATTTTCTGTACTACTATCAAAAATACTATCTACTATATATATATATATATATATATATATATATATATATATATATATATATATATATATATATATATATATATATATATATATTATATATATATATATATATATATATATATATATATATATATTTCTTCATTGATTGCTTCAATGGGTTGAAGCTGTCAGTTCATTATAATTCAATTATATGACCAGTCAGCTACAACACTTCCGAGTTCGGAAGCGGTGAAGGAAGAAAGGGTAGCACAAAATGTGTGATATGCAAAATAAGTACATCTAATTACATATTTAGATTTGTTGAATAAAATTGCTTTTTTAAATTTATTAAATTATTAAATATTTTTTGATATTTGTATTTATAGAGTTTATATGCGGAATATGAGTATGCGGAAGACAACCTTTGAAAAGATCCTTTTTGTAGATTTTTTTAAAAAAATGTGCTAATAGTTTTAGCGCTTTTTTTTGTAAACACAGTGTAGTCTTAAAAGTATAAATTTGGGAGAAAAATTAAACATTTTTAAGTTGCATCAATTATGAAAAAAGTTTTTTTGAGACCCAACTAGGTCCTAAAAAACAGTGCGCTAATTTTTATAACTTGAGCCAATTTATCTCTCGGAGTGGTTTTTTGGCGCAAACAATGAAAATTTTAATTTTTTGAGCGCAAACTTATATATATATATATATATATATATATATATATATATATATATATATATATATATATATATATATATATATATATATATATATATATATATATATATATATATATATATATATATATATATATATATATATATATATATATATATATATATATATATATATATATATATATATATATATATATATATATATATATATATATATATATATATATATATATATATATATATATATATATATATACATTGTTTTGGCAATAGTTTTAAGCGAAAAAATCTTAATACTTTTAGGCTGGTAGCAAGTAATAGTTTGTATAATAAGCCAAAACGGTATTTTTCCTAGTAAAAAATAAAAATACATTTTTACAAATCAATTTTTTTCTATATTTTTATAAATTAAAAAAATATTATTAAATCCAAAAAAATATATGTTTTTTCATAATAATATGAGCTAACTAGCCCTATTAATATGACTTTTATGAATATAAGCGTGATGAATAATTATAAATTTCATTAATATGAATCCCATGAAGTATTTCCTAACTTTATGCGAAAACCCTAAAATAATATACGGAAAGATGAAATAGTCAATTAGAAAGGTTCCATGTGATTTCTGACATTTTTTGAAGTTAAACGCAATTCGTCCATTAAATCTTATTACGAACTAGCCCCAGTCTCCTCTCATGTAAAAATCTTTAAATATCGCGTTTTTTACGTATATGTAAAAAACCTTTTGACTTATAATTACCCTAAAGGGTATAAAAATTGATGAAACACATTATAAAATGAGTTTGCATGTTGATTGTAAGTGACTGGAAAATCTGATATACGACCTTTAGTTTTGGCCTTTTTTTATAAACACTGTGTTAAAAATCATGTATCTTTTTTATTATAAAGTTTTACTGATAAAATCTTTGATTTTAATTTGCTCAAAGATTAAATGTATATGTAGTTTAAGTAATTTTTATTATTTATTTAGTTATAGAATTGATCACGTTGAATAAATCGAATTGAATCGCATCGAACCTTAGACCATTTAATTCCTAAACCAATTTTCCAACTATCCGATTGAAATCAACCAAAAGTATACGAAATTCATACCGGAAAAGGCATAATTATAAAGCCTATCAAAAAAACAGTCGACCAAAAACGCGGTAGGTTAAAATTCACTAGATCAAAAATAAATGTGGTTGAAAATTCAGTTGATTAAAATGTTGGAAAATTGGTAGTTCATTTTTAAATTCGATGAAAGTATGAAAAATAAATAGTCATTCGTTGAAGATAAAAATTGTCATATTCTACAATTTTAAAAAATTTTCAAAATTACATAAATATAATTCAATAGCGGTTATTACTTTTCTACCAAAACAATTAAATATAAAAAAAAAAATTAACAGATTATCTTAAAATTCTATTTCGCAGGCTAAGATAACGCATAAAACTAAAACATAAAGTCGATTATTCATGTTAGGTTATTGGAGAGATATCGAAACAGTCTGTCATTTCTCCGACTCGTTTAGTCACGTGCTTGTATTGTTTTTGTTCAGCTAAGTTAGTTCGCCAAAAAAAATTAAACGCATAATGCGCATAATTACAGAAGCTCGTAGCGCGTTTAATTAAAGAAATGTTCAGCTTGTTCATTTGATATTCATCAAATGGCGTTCCAAGCGCTGCCAAGCAGAAACTAACGGTAAATAATTTAATTAAACATCCACACTATCCAAATTTTACTTATTGGCTGTGAAATATCTTTGGCAAGATTTTATGCAAGTTAGTTTTTATTCCGTCAAAATTACTATTAGAAAAAAAGTAAAAGTTGCATTTTTTTTTTTAATTCAATATTTTTGATAAAATAATTTTTTTTTTAGAATGAAGATCAAATTACTTGTTGGTTTGATTTGTCTAAGTGTGGTTTATACTAAACCATTAGATGATGACAACCAAGGTAAGAGAATAAAAAAAAAAAAATTTAATACGATAAAATAAAGTTGATATTATTTTCCTATTATTAATAAAGTTAATATTCTAGCCCAAGAAGGCGATGACAAACCTGGAGAAAAGAGGGATAACATCGAAAAATTATCAAACGATAACAAAGCAAACACTACAACAAACACAGAAGAGACAGCAGGATCCAACAACATAGATTTAGTTTCAGATGCCGCTGAATCATCTCCAAATCAAAAATCAACCATTGGCGTTACAGACACAACGCTTTTGCCTTCACCTACTTCTTCCGCCCCATCAACAAAAAAAGTGACGACGGCACCTATATTAACAACAGTTTTACCAACAACCGTTCATAAAGGTATCTATTTTTAAAATAAAGTTTGTTCAGATCTTTAGAAATTTTCTAAAATAATAAACTTGTTTTAATAGACGTTAGGATCCATTAGAATACAAGGCGTTTCTGTTAATATTAAATGTAATAATACTTAAATTATAAAAACTAATACAGGGTTATGTTAACGTTAAATCGTCGACACCTCAAAGCTAATTTTTTAGTTCAGAACGCGGCTGTGCCAGATTTGTATATGTGAAGAAAAAGGTTTTTACTCATTTCTTTTATTGACCTTCGTTAACATTCATACACTTTTATGCAGCATTTTTCTAATGTTTATTTATGCATTTCTTTAATTGACCCTTGTTATTATTCATACACTTTAATACACCATTTTTTTAATGTCTACTTACGCATTTATCTCAAACAAAAATATTTTCTAAAGAAAATATTAATTAAGAATTTGTTCGTGCAATTATTACAAACACAATCTATATCTTGTCTACGCAATTCAAAGAGGTTATAAACTCACCAACGTTTTTAAAACACATACATTGACCACTTACCAACCATAAATACCTTAGCTCTATTTAAAGATGTGTTTTGTATTAAGTAGGATCAACTGTTGCTGGTACGGTTAGTCAAGTAACCGTACCAGCAACGTTCAGCAGAATGATTGATCTTGAACATGAGGACGAAAAAATTACAAACTCTATTTCTTCAAGAGAGCATCCTATGACTGCAAAGTACTCGAAGAATGAAGATACTCCATTTACTACCACTCGTTCTAAAACAGTATCAAATAACGAAGATACTCCTATCACTACCACTCGCTCAATGATGGTATCAACAAAACATGCTACAAGTCATGCATCAACAATATCAACTCACAAAACAACCGCTATTCGTAAAACAACACCAACAAAATCAAGTTACTCTTCTACCAAAATTCATCAAACTACATTGAACACCAGAACGTCGACATCAACGTCGACATCAACACATTCAACAACTAAAAAGAAAGGTAACATGGAATATCTGTACAAGAGCTAGTTATCATATTGTTAATTTTACGTTTTAAAACTCGTATTTTTTACTTTCAAATCTTCAGGGCTGATGATACAAGCCATTAAATAAAGTTGAACTTTGTATAAGTAAAAACAATAATATATTAAAAAAAAAAATTAAAATTTTTCTATATTATAAATCAAATGTTTTTAAAGTTGTCTGCATGTATACATAAAACAATGTAGGCTACTAAAAAACTAATTTCTGTCTTTTTGTAAATAGTATTTATTTCTGCAGTCTTTAGATACATTTTATATAAAATTAGATATATATATACATATATATATACATACAGGGCCGGCGCGATTAGGTGTCACGTGATGGTGGTGGTGGGGGAAGGGGGGAGTTGCCATTACTTTTACCGACTAAAAAAAAAAACAAAAAAAAACTGACTGTCTAAATTTACCGACTAACCTGTCGAAAGGGTCTACATTTGCCGACTAACTAGTCAAAAAGGGTCTAATTTGCCGACTAAAATTATTGATGAGAGGGGGGGGGAGTGTCACCCCGCACCCCTTATCGCGCCGGCCTTGCATATATATATATATATATATATATATATATATATATATATATATATATATATATATATATATATATATATATATATGTGCTTTTTATTATTGGCCCCCATGTATCATTAGCTTATCTCAAATAAAACATTTAAATAACAAACTTATGTTAATTCTTTACCTTGATTAATGAGCAGTATCACGCAAATACATACAGAAGCAGGTTTTAAACCACAATGCTTTTAATAAAATCAGATTCTATTTTTTTTTTATTGTTTTAATAACTATTAGGGGTAACTACAAAAGCTCCTGTCATCACCACAAAACCTGCTACTACAAAACCAGCAACTACAAAAAGACCCACTACAAAATTGGTCACTACAAAAATGGTCACTACAAAGATTGTCACTACAACTCAAACAACGCCAAGGATAGCTGTAACTACTCAAAAAACTACGCCGCCAACACCACAAACTGTTGAAAATTCAAGAAATGATACGTATACAATGAGTGGTAAAATATTAATATTACTTTGAATTTTTTTATATTGAATTTTTAATCAATAAAAAAAAAATTTATTTTTAATTTCTGACTTTTAATTCCAATTTTTATTTTTAAAGCAACAACTTTTCACGTTGCAATTCGCCTTCTGGCAGAAAAGTATGTTGAAGATTTCAATTTTGTTACAAGCCCGGTTTATCAGAGTTTGAAAAAACACGTTATGCAAACGGTATGAGAATGATTAAGATATTGTTTGAACTGTGATATGTTGATATGTGTTAATGAAATTCTTTGCCTAAAATATACAATAAATTTATATGTAGATTGCCGCAGTTTACTCCAACTACCCTGAATTTAAGCAAATTGTAGTGATTAAATTTACGTAAGTACTATTATCTATAATTACTATAAACTATACTATAAACCCTTAAAATACTATAAACCCTTAAATACTATAAACCCTTAGATACTATAAACCCTTAGATACTCTAAACCCTTAGATACTCGAAACCCCTAAAATACAAAAACTGAATATTAAATAAAAAGTAATGATTGTTTAAATCATTTAATTATTGTTTATTTAAGTAATTTACTGTACAAGCTGGGGAGGATTTATAGAACTTTTTTAGAACTACTGAAATATAATTTTTGAATGTTCAAACAAATGATAATTTTTTTATAGATCAGTTTTTGAATAAATTATATAAATTTAAATAAGTTAAGTAAACTTATATCTATTCTAAATACTGATACTGAAATTTATATTTTAAAAACTTAATTTCTTCCACGGTAATCAGTCTACCTTTGACGGTGCTTTCGTTTTATATGCATTTTTATTATAGCCTTTATACCTTGAAATGATGACCAAATTTGGTGTTTTAATTATTAGATTTATTTATTTTATATGTTTTTTGTCTTAAAAATAACATCATTTTTTTCATAAAACAATTAATAATCAAAACAGGCGTGGTAAAAACAAGGTTTTAAGCATAATTGTTCAAAGTTCAAAAAATATAACACAATTGAGCATTGATCAGACGTCAAACATTACTGATAACGGTTAATGAGCATTATTTGAACATTGCTTATCATGTTTGATAAAAATTAATGTCGTTTTCAATATGTTTGCAATATAATATATAGCATAATATAAAAACAAACAGAACTTTAAAGAGTGCTTAGCATTATTTAGTAAAACTTTAAAGTATGTTTTGCGTTATAAAAATATCCCTATTCATGAAAAGTTTACATAAAAATTTTTTGTCGAAATTTTACAAGTTTTAAGAAGTCATTGTGTAATTTATAGCATTAATACAACCCTGAGATATAATACATTGCACTCAAATGTCTAACTCATCACGGATTACATCGGTTCACAAATAAGAGTTCATTCGATTCTCGGACTCAATTAATAGCTTATTGTGCACGAGTTGGGTAAGTTCGTTAAATTGGTTTATAACGGCAATTTTCTTGCATAAAAAATAAGCATTTTACAGCTTTACAGCAAGTGCATGCGAGAATCACCGCGGTGGTTTTCTCACATACAGGTTTTTATACATACATTTAGTTAAGTGTTAGGAAATTTTTTTATTAGCTTTGTGTTTTTGTTTTTGGGTTTATACCGGTGCACTAAGCATCGGACTCCTACTAAAAAAAGGAAATAGATTATTATTCCGATAGCTATTGAATATTTTGAAATAATATTGTCACAGGACATCAGAAATATTTTTGCGTTTTTTTCTTCTTTTCCGGAATAATTTTATTACCGCTAATATAGTGTTGCAAACCGACAGTTATCTTCTCATTAAACATTAAAGCACATTTTAAATTATATCTTATATAATTATAATTATATTTGTTTTATATAACAATGAATAGCAATTGCTTTAAGAGAAAATCAGAATCCTTATTAAAAATCAGATTTAATAAGAGTCTGACTACAGAGGTAGCCAGAATAACTTTTTACGTATAAGAAGCCGATTTGTTGCATAAAATTTGTATATAATAAAATGCTCACAATAGTAACATGATTGAACCCATAAATCTTTGCTGAGTTAAGATAGACCAAAAAAAGGTTATTAAGGGAAAACTTTTATTTGCTTTTATAAGTTGAAAATATATCAGAAGTTTGATTTTTATTAGAATTAAAATTCTACCGTTTAAAAAAAGAAATTTGAAAAAATATAATCTTTTTTTAATTAGGAACAACAAATTAATTCTGTAAAATAGTATTTCAAAAACTAAAACTGGAAAAGTCCTAAAATCCTGAATTTCCTGGTAAAAAATCCCCTCAAAAAAACAAACATTTAAATTGATAGATTGCCATCCCAAACCAAAGTCCTCAGTCAATGTAGCGGCACTCCTTGCACGTTCTATCTACTTGTCAGTCAATTTATAAAAACTTGGGTTACATCATAAAAAGCTGTGGGTTCACCAGGGGATTTTTTCAGGGGGATATTTTCTTGGGGGATTTTTTTAAAAAAACATTTTTTAAATGCATTGTGTATGATTTGCTTATTTTATGTATTATAGCAACATAATTTATTCTAAAATAAAATGGCTAGACAGTTGTTAACATCACTTGTTAAACCACATTTTATATACGAGCTTTCAATAGTAAAAAAATATATATGATACTTGAGTGACAAAAAAGTATATAAATGATCAAATGTGGCATTAAACGTGCAACTGTTTCTCAAATAGTCATATCAAGAACTAGATTACTACGAAAAATAAACTATGTAGTTCTTGTCAAAAAATTTTATTTTAGAAAAAACTTAGTTTCTTGAGATTTTTTTGCAATAAACTTTTAAAAAACAATCCTTAGTTATACTAAATTCTCTCGGATAAATCTCAAAAGTACCTATGAATAAAAAGATAAAATACCAATGTTTTTATCAAAAAAAAAATTATATATATTATTATAAATTATTTGTATTATAGTAGTTAATTTATAATTCTATTATAGTTTTACTCTTTTAAAATATAATCTATAAAAGAAGATATAAAAATGTTTGTTTTGCTTTAGAAACTCCAAAGCATTAGGTGTCACTCCTCTAACACGTGATATGAATGATGACAAACGAGACATGTGAGGTTTTTATTATAAGTAAACGTGCTTTATAAATAAATATGTTGTATGTTATAATATTGATAAACCGTTTTATTACAAACGTTAAGTTTATAGGTAAACTTTTTTAGAATTAATCCAGTCGCAGGAGTTATTGTCGACTTTTATTTACGATTCTACTCAAATGGAAGACATTTAGTGCCGCTCACTAGACAAGTTCTTAATGGAAAAATTGGCACCATTCCGGTCTCTCCACAATTTGTTAGAGCCTGTAAGTTTTATTTTTAGATGAATATATTAGCAAAAATAGAGTAAGTTTTTTAATAAGTAGTTTTGAACCTCTTTCAACATTATGCTGCCACCTGTATCCAAGCGACAATTTTTTTATGGAACTGCAGCTTCAACAAAACATTACAATAAAATTTTTAAGATTTGGGTTACAGTAGAAACTAATGCAAATAGCAATTTAAAAAAAGATGATCGTACCCTCATAAGATTTTTGTTATTGTATTTATTAAATAGAGTTGCAACAATAAAATTGAGATTCGAAAGAACTAACTTTTAATTAACTTTTAAAGCTCATTATTCCAGTCAAAAATTCATCCTTAAAATAGTTTAGATTATCACAAAAAAAGCTCCTTATTTTATTCATAACTGTTGTTTTATTTATGTGTGTTTTTTATACAAGTAAGTTTACCTAAATAGTTTTACCTAACTATTTGAAATCTTTATATGTAGACAGATAGTTTTATTTAACTATTTAATATTTTTAATGTAGACAAATATGTATTTTTATCGAACTATTTGATACCTTTATATGTAGTTTAGTAAAAATTTATTTTTAATTACTTGTAAAAAAACTCACAATTTATAAAAATATGGTTTAGATTCCGCAGAACCTAAAGGTCGCGTTTGCACTCCTGATTGCAGACTGCAATGTTATTCTTACTGTGACTCTGGATGTTGTCACATTAATGTAGTACAGCATCTTGATGCTCCAACCCAATCGCCAGTAGATAGTTTAATTCAGCAACAGCAAGATGAATTAAGAAACCCTCAACTGTGTCAGGGTTCATCATGTGATACTCAACTTCTCCAACAACCTTGTTCAGGTCAGTCGTGTTTAACTTCACTACAAACTCCATGTCAGGGTCCAAGCTGTTCAATCAGTGCTGATCAGCCTTGCCAAGGTCAATCTTGTATTTCTGCATTACCAATGCAACAACCTTGCCAGGGTCAAAATTGTGCGCCGCAAATGAATATGCCTCAGCAATGTCAGGGTCAGTTATGTCAACCACCAGTAATTCAACAGCAACCTTGTCAAGGTCAATTTTGTGGTAACGCAGTACCAATGCAGCAACCCTGTCAGGGTCCAACATGCTCTTTGATAATGCAAAATCCTTGTATTGGGCCACAATGTTCAATTCCACCACCAATGCCAGCATCACCCTGTCAAGGTGCAACTTGCGGTCAACCAGCCCAATTTCAAATGCCGCCACAGTACTTCGGTTTACCTCAAATGAATCCATCTTCATGCCCACCACTATGTTCTCAGAATTGTGGGCCGATGTGTCCTACACAGTGCTGCAATAATAGAGAGCAACAAGTTCCGTTGTATCCACAAATAAGATGTGGTCCACAGGGGTGCTAACTTTTTAATTCATCATACACAAACTTACATTGTATATAAAAATCATTATGTATACATAGTTTATATAATAACAAATTTACTAAAGTTGTATCATAAAATAATGAGAAATGTATATATATATATATATATATATATATATATATATATATATATATATATATATATATATATATATATATATATATATATATATATATGTATATATATATATATCTATATGTATATATATATATATATATATATATATATATATATATATATATAATATATATATATATATATATATATATATATATATATATATATATATAACCCAAACTTTGTGTAAGTGGGCATCATGTTGAGGAATTTTACAAAATAATATATGTTTATATATATACATATATATATATATATATATATATATATATATATATATATATATATATATATATATATATATATATATATATATATAAACATACCCATATTGGGTTATATATATATGTATATAACCCAAAGGGATTATATATATATATATATATATATAACCCAAAGTTTGCCTAAATGGGTACCATTTCATTAAAGATAATCAAATACAGTTTTTCATAAATATTTCCAACGACGGAAAACGAAGATTTTTTAAAGTGAGGCTGTGCTTGTCGCAATCAAAATAAATGCATCGTTAGCAATTATTTAGTAAGGTTCGGAGTGGTAAAATGCAGAATTTTCTTCATTTACTGTATCAAATTTAATCTTTAATCAGTATATTACTATTTCTAGAAAAAAACAGTCGCTGCTGAAAAAAAAAACTACTGCTGATGTTTTTTTTATTTGCAATTAGTGTTCGAGTGTCGGATATTGTTATTTGTTTTCATCATTTGGGTTTTCATATTTATGTTTTGTTATTTGAAATTGCTGTCATTGAAGTCTTTTTTTTATTTTTTTATTTATACATTTTAAATATAAACCTCGTGCTCAATCTACTACATTTTTAGTTATTTTTTGAGTGTGATATGCAGAGCCTTCAAGCAAGCGGGGGAGGAGGTGGGGAATTAATCCGGGCGCCAAGCTTGAAGGGATGCTGAACAACCCATTGTTTTTTGTTTGTTTTTTTACGATAAATACAAAAATATTTTTATGACTGACAATGTATTCGGTATTCAAAATAAAAATAAGTATAAAAACATTTTTTATTTTAAATTCTATAACTATAATTAATCATAAACTATTTTTTGCAAAAAAAATAGGATTTAGATATAGTTGAATAGATGAAATCAGGCGTATTCCATAAGCCCATAAACAGTTAGCCGTGCTAGCTCGTGCTCGATTGCACGGAAGATGATGCGGTGTGGTAATTATTATGGTACCTGAACAAATTTTGCTTTAAAGGAGTCTACACTAATGGCTCTAGGAAATTCGTCAGTGCTATCAGTGTAGAATCTTTTAATCTATGTAAAATTTTATGAAGTGAGGCTTTTAGTTTACGGTCAGGAAAAGTGTTGCCGTTGATTAAATAAGTATTTGGTTAAATAAGTTGTTTGATAAATTATGAGTTTTATTATGTTTATTGTTAATAATTAAAGGTTAAATAAGTTAGTTGGTAATTAAAAAAAAATTTGAAAATTTTATACATTTTTTATTCGATATTGGTAACGCGATGGCCTGAGAAGCATGAGATCATGGCCGTCCCAAAGTGATCTTAAAATAGAGGGGGGGGGGTATATATCTGTTTTTTACCAACTAAGGCCTGGAAAAATGGTTTAGAGATAAAATAAAAGGTCATCGTTGGACGAAATTTGTCGACTGTCAACTATAGATCCAATTTTGCAGACTAATAAAATTTTGGAGGCTAGACATCTCCCCCTCGGGACTGCCCTGCATGAATTCTGTGGTTCAAATCTATCTCTGGGCAAATTTTGAGAGATCGGTTAGGAGTGAAGTTCTCTGTAACAAGACCGTAAGAAGTTCTTGGGGCAACAAAAAAAAAAATTTAAAAAATACTATTACTTTTGTTTTTTGCGGTTACCAAGTTAAGGAAAAAAACAAACAAAAAAATAAGCTAGTGTTGTTTACAACGGAGTGTTTCTTTGGACTTGATGTAACGGTCCATTGCGGACATTTTTTAATCTATTAAATAAAACAAATTCGTAAAAAATAAAAATATTTTAAAAAGTATCTTCAACAATAAAAAAATAAGGCTATAGAATAGTTTTTAAACAAAAGAACACAAACACACAAGAAGCAGTGACTGTTGCAAACTCTCCAATGCCAAAACCGTAAGTAAAATAAAATTAATTTATGTTCTTTTATATAAATGTTTTATAAGAAAAATTGTGTTTTTTGAGTAAAACTTCCAATCTGTAATAAACTAATTGTAAATTACAAAAAATTGTTTTAAAAAATGGCTTGAAAGAAATATTCCAGTGCTCAAAACCGTAGAAGAAATAAAATAGACAGGCTTTAAAGAATACGGGATTTATAACAATAACACTGACCAAAAAAATTACCTCTTCTCCAAACACTCAATTAAGCCCTTCAGTAAGTTACTGTGTTTTTTATATTACATTTTTTTTCTTCTAACACCTCTGGTATTATAATCTTTGCTGTTATTACTAACTTTTTTCTTTAAGGTTCGCTATAGTAATGACAATTACTCTTAGTCTGTCCATGAGGGTTAAGAGCAATCAATAAATTTTCCTCCTCTTTCCAGATCACCTGCTGCACTAAGTATGTATAAATCGAAGGACTGTGGATCAGTGGGGGCCTCAAACAGTTCACCGGAAGCTGAACTAAAAGACTTTCAAACCCTGCTAGCTATATTAAAATAAAAAGAGTTTTTTTAATGAAAATACTAAAAATAATTTTTGATGAACATTTAAATTGGAAAAGCCAAATAAAGTTAGTCAAAAATAAAGTTTCAAAGGCTCTGAGGATTTTTTACAAGACAAAACATCTTTTGAATAAAATGTCATTAAAAAATTTATACAATTCATTTATACATAGTCATTAATTAAAAATATTCCTACAAAACAAAAGCAAGCAAGTTGATTCGTTTTGCGCACTGATAAGTATCAAAGTGTCGAGCCGTTACTCAAGGAAATAAATGCTCTAAGCGTATACGAACAAAATATCTTAACTTCTTGTTTATGTTTAACCTTCAAAATAAAATTCCAAAATGTTTTTTTTAAAATTTCTCCCTATCTTTATATATATCTTTCTCGTAGTTTTTGTTTGACTGTTTTAATTTTGTGTAAAAAATATAAATAGATGAATTTAGATCTTCAAAGCGTTTACATAAATCTTGTTAATAAATAAAAAGACCTGGATCAAGCAGAAGACTAACCTGTCTTATCACCGAGCCCCATTTATGAAATATTGTCAGTTTATATACAGGAAGAAAAAGTATAGTACATAATAGGAATTTTAAACACGTTTATTTACATGTGTTAAATAGTACGCAATATATTAAAGATTAACAACAACTTAAATGTAGTTTTTCAACAAAAAATTAAATTCAACTAAAATTGCAAAAAGAGAAGTATCAATAAATATTATTTAGATAGCTTATACTATTTATGTATTTATTTTAAAAGAGGTATTTTAAATCAAAGTCTTTTTGTAATAAGAGACTCTTCCCAATTGGAACGGGGCGTATTAAAGACGTTCTTGGACATTCAATTAGGTCCGTCCGTCCCATTTAAATTTTATACGTCTTATGAACGTTTTTTTTCGCGTTCAATAAGTTTTCAATCGCGTTTGAAAGATTCAGACATTGCAGAATCTCATGCGGAACCATATTTTTTAAAAGGAAAACCTTTTAATGATACAGATACAATGATATAATGATACTTGATGATATAATAGAATTCAATATCTTTAATCAACAACTTTTATTTTAAGCTATTCGAAATAATTGGACCAGTACATTAGATAATGAAAGGTTTGGAATTTCCCAAAGGTGAAGGGAAAATTTTAAAAACACCTAAGGATAACTGTTCCCGAAAAGTTTGGTAGTAATTACTCTAATTTTGTAATACAGCGAAGTATTAAGAGCATATTTTTTCTACTACGGAATAAAACTATTTTTTTTTGAATTTTATTATTGATGATTTACCTTTATTTAAATCTTCTAATAAACAATTGTGGCCTTAATTATAGTAGGTAAGTGACATGAAATTTATTAATTAAACACTAGATTGTTGTATACCATTGGAAAGATCTTGAAAACAGTATTTTAGAGGTGAAGAAGTTATCAAAATTGAACAACTCTATAAAAAGTTATAGCCTTTTAAGTACCAAAGTTTCGATATATGGATTTGTTAAAAAAAACGTGACCAAATTTTAAGTTTTTTTTTTAACTTAAAATGTCATAACTTTGTCGATTCTTATAAAAATTCATAAAACTTGGTATCAAATAAAAGGTCTTAAAAAGGAGAATAATGATACTTAAAAGATGTATGCAAAGATGTATTTTTTAAATAAAATTTTTATTTTTTATTGAAATCGTTTTTTATATTTTTAATATTTTATATATATTATTCAATATTATTTTTACCATAATACTAAAAAATAATAAAAAAATACACAGCAAAACATGCTCATATCATCCCATTCTTAAAAATACTGAAAAAGGTCAAAATCCATAAAAAACGGCAAAAAAATCCCCATAAAAAACTATTGCTAGAAAATAGTTAATTAAATAATAATGTAAGTAAATACCATTACAAGAGAAAAATCAATTTTTTTTGTAAATAATTTTTTTATTCCGGGACTTATTTATTTTATTTTATATATTAGAAAACTCGTTCAAAAAAGTCTCGCATTAGTGTCACTCTTTTAAGATTGTTATGGGTAAAAACAATTCAAAATTCAATTAAAATTCATATGTTTAAGATGTTTGTTAACTATTAACAACGTTTTTAACAATAAATTTTAATTTTACATTTTCTTTACCGATATCTCAAAAATGTGTCATAAATTGAATTTTTTTAAATTAGTTTAATTATTAGTTTACTTCAAAAACTAAAAGATCCCACAAGATTCCATAATAGTTTTAATATTTTTCCATTAATAGGTATAAATGAAAGCAGAAAAAAAAAATT